CGCCGGCAATTTCAGCCACCTAATCACCACCCGCTCTCCACATCGGCGTTCTACTTCCGGCTAGCCACACACAAGATTCTGGAAGGTTACTCCGTTGTAGCACCCGGTATTCTGTACCGTGTATGTACGTTTCTAAAGCGTACAAGAGTATGTTCGATGTAAGAAATAGTAAATGGACATGTTTGAATGAAAGCAATATAAAATAAAATATCTAAAATAAAAAGTCATACACCGTACATGTACAGAAAACTGAGTTGCTGAACTAGCTATTGTCGAACTGGAAGTTGATCTGTGGATTCTTTCGTTGATTGTAAAATTTCAAGGGTAGAAATGGATATTTTGGTGAGGTATTTAGATACAAATCTCGCATAACGTAGCATTTGAGCAGAAATACTATGTTTGACTGGAAAAAAGAAACATATAGTAATTTGGGTGTGTTTTTCTATAAATGCTATGACGACAATACATCGTCGACAACTCCAGCAATGCGTAGATAGTACTACATCTCAACTATCATGGAAGTACTCTTTCCCCGTATAATTAATCTTGAAATGTAAGTCTTAACACGACGATAGCAGAGCTACGTGTAGTTCATAGTGGGCTATAAGTCTGTAACCCCTCAATATTTTTATCTTTGGTTTTAATTTTTGAATCACATGATAAACAAACTAATACTTATACCCTTTTTTTTCTCTCTCTTTGTAGTCCGCCTCACTATTGATTCCTAATTTTGCCACTCTCCATTCGGGGACATCTAATAAAATTGGAATGTTCCTAACTTCGCGTACTGCTCACACATAATTATATATCATCATGTTAACGTATATAATAGCAGAGACCCCGTACTCGCTAGTTTCAGTAACTTGAGTCGTTGATCATAGATGCATGTCTAGCCATATGGATAATATTATATCATTATGTCACACACCCTCTTAAACGAAAAAACCCTAAATGAGCACAATCAGCTTGAAGTTTGCGTACACTGGTAATAAGTAATAACTAATAACCCAAGTTTTTTTTATTATTTCAACTCTTGATACAGGGTTCATGATCGTTTTAAATGCAAGACCTATTAAGTATGTTAAATGCTACGATATTATATGATTGTCTGAATAATTCGAGATATTGAAACAAGTTCAAACGTATATCATCCCTTCGTGAACAATACCCTTTATATAAAAAAATTAATTTAATTTTAAATATTTTTCAATAACCCAAGTGATATTGCAACGAAATCATATTTTTGGCATAAGCCACTATCCATGCCAGTTTCATATATATTCAAATCATGAAAATTGTCCAATGTCAAGAGCAGAGAATAATAGGTGGATGAATGTGATAGACAAAATTACATATTTGTAGCTATACAAATTAATAATGGAAGCTTGCCATATGCTCAATTAACTTTAAGAAGAAGAAGAAGTAACTGTAGATTTATAATTGGACCTGTGATGGCGGCCATGTGCGCCACTTGGCAGCAGTACCAGAGACAGGGAAGATGAACATGAACATTTATTATTATGTAAATGGAGGTTAGGATGCTTAATTAGGCAGGTGAAGATTCTGCAGAACAATATAATTCATATCAAACTGTTCCATGGATCTCTGCCATTTAACTAGTTAATTAATGATATTATTAATTACTTGGTACTTCATTAACTAATAATTGATATAATGGTTCTGTTTCTATCCATAGCTAGCATTGATTGTTCTGTTCGTTTGTCCTGTTCTTAATTTCCCACCTGAAAATGTCAGCAGAACGGTTCATTGAATCCTGCAGAGCTACTCGATTGAAGAAGTAAAGGCTCCCTTGGTTGTTGAATTAGTTTCTAAGTAAGTAATTAATTACACAGTTAGCTATAGTTAATCAATATCTGTCGGACAGTGATTAAGGTGATGAGATGAGCTATTATGTTGAACAGTTGAGAGATACCAACCATGAATGGTTCATCCTTCATACTAACTTGTTAGGATGAGGAAAAGAAGTGCAGCTTCATGATTGAAAATACCTTTACTCTGATATTGTTTACAATGAAAAGAACTATATATGTAGCGTATCATCGTTGATTAGTCACTCATTTGTCGGTAGGACGGTCGATTTCGTTAGGTTCGGTTAACTCAACTGATAGGACAAAAGTAGGAAAGCAAAATTGTTAACTACCAAAAGAGGTTTTATCGATTTTCAATGTGTTGAAAACCGATAAGCCTTTTTAAAGGTATGATTTGAAGAAACCGATAAAAGCGAACCGAGGGAGGGGTGCACTAAATATACGTTACAACCGTGTACAAAAACTGGACTTCGATTTCTTACCAGTTCTTTTTGTTTCAACTAAAACCAATACACTTAAGACAAAAAAATGGTCTGGGACCGACAATTCAAAAGCGTTCAAATTTCTCATTGGTTATGTTTAACAAAAAAACCGATATCCCAACCCCATTTGTCGTTGTTTACTTGATGAGGAAGGATACTCCAACACCGTCGACGTATCACACATTGTCTATCGACAATGTTGGAGTTGACAATTGAGAATGGCAGGAGGGCACTGTACCACTTTATCAAGGTTCCTGCCTCCCCGTCAAATTAGGGCATGATATTGTTACACATACTAAACTGTAGGGGATACCACACATGGTCGAACTATCCCGAGAGATGAGGAAGATGACTTCGTAGATTAACTCTAACACTAATATTTCAAATTTGTCGTCATGGCATGTGTTGAGCAAACATCGGTTAGATTATACTTGGGGTCGTTTGGATGGATCAATTTAGAAATGAGTCAATTTGATCAATTGTCTCGTTTTATAAACGAGGCAATTAAAACGAGTCAATTCGAACTACCTGCCCCCACCCCAGGTAATTGAAATTGACTCAAAACGGATCAATTCAAAATACCTCAGGCAGATTGATCCATCCAAAATTTTTGCTGGCAAACGAGGCAATTTGGTACAATTGTCTCAAAACGAGACAATTGTGTCAAATTGATCCGTTAATCATTGGGAGGTTCATTTCTCCCACATTTACCACAAACCATAACTATACATTATAACATATTGGTTTGTCTGATTATTGATTGTACGACTATTAGTCATTAAACATTACATATCCTGATATTTTGATATATTTACACCCACTATTTATGAAAAATGACTAATTAGTTTTCCATAATAAAACACAACATCCGAGGTTTGTTAAATTTCCCTTTCAATGATACAGTTAAAAGACATGAAAATCCAAAAAACATGGCAGCCAGCCCCACCCTTATGATTATTGTTCCCCACAATTTATGAACAGTTTTCTTTGTTTTTTTTTTTCCCTGTAAGAAAAGTCTTCAATTACACTTTAAAATATAAATATTCCCCAAATAATTGGGACCAACACAGGGACCCATGCATCTGATCTCATTTATCATTCTAAGGTTTCTCTTTCTCTATTATGTATTTTCCAAACATTAATCTGACTTTTGATTGTTTTAAAAGCAATCAAGAAAGGAAAGTGAGGATAATATTTATCATTGTGTGGATTATTAGGCTTTCATACACAATTTTAAGGTTAAACAAACAAAAAAAAAATGTGGAACAATCACTAGATAAGAATTGATGACAGCATTATACTGTTATACAGTCTCAAATAGGTTTTGAGATTAGGATTGGAAGGGTAGATTTATAGATAGATTCCAACCTTGTGCTCCGACTCGCATAGCATTTGACATTTCAACCACAAATAACACGCATAGACGCATATGAGGTCGTTTGAACGAGTAATTCAAACAAGTCATTTTTTGAATGAACCGTGTAGGTTATAAACATACTTCATTTTTGTGCTTGCACTCATTCAACATGTAGTGATGTAATTAGGTTGAAACTATGAGGAGTTATAGCTCTATCCAACTTTGAAATGCATGTAAGATTTGTGACAAATTTAGAAAATAGAGCAGTCGGTAAGAGTTTAGCCCCTACTTAATCAACACATATCAAATCAGTCATTCATATTTTTGACTATGCAATCGGCCAACATGCCAATTACACATAACCAACCCATATACGGAACACAACATAATAATGAATTTTAGCCAAAAGTCCGATTCACTCCTGGGAGAACTTTAGTGAACCACGTAACTCATTAGAATCGTGAAACATAATTTAAATTTTAGTGACTGAAATGAAATTTACCTTACATGTATTATTTAATAATTTTACATTTAACCATATATAACTCATTAAAAATCTAGGCTCATCTCATTCATTTATGGATAACAATTTGCACCCACCCACTTGACTCGTGACGGGACGGGTATCACCCGATTAGCAATAGCATGGGGCGGGACATGGGTATCTACTTCTGACCCGTACTGCCTCGCCCCGCCCCATCCCATTCGGACTCAATTTCTTATAATAATTAATATTTATCATATTTTGACATTTTTCAACTAGTTTGACTTTATCTTTTACTTAGTTAGACTCAATCGCTCATTTTATTATCATTATTTTTCATTCATAAAGCATTTTTTTTTGTTTTATCATAAAAATTAAAATATTGTGTGTATATTTTTCAAATAACGTGTAGGAGTGAGTCGTCCGCACAGTACCTACGCGACAGGATTGAGAATTGACGTACCCGCTCCGTCTCGCCTCATTGTCATCACTGCATTCATTCCATTTCAAAACCACAACATTTTACGGTCGAGCCGGAAATAAATAGTGGTCCGACCAATGATTTTTTTGGTTTTGATTTGAGCGACTACCGGTTAACAATCCAGATGGCTTGCAGAAGACCATCTTCATGCCCGGTTCTGGTCGAATCTGATCCAACTGACCGGTTTGATAGTGATTTGACAACCTAAGTAGACAATTACTTCAAATTCTTAAATAAATAAAAAATTTAGAGACATTGGTGGCAGACTGACGGTGACGGTGGCGATGATGGTGGTGGGGGCGGTGGTGGCTGGTGGTGATAATTTTAGCTTTAGAGGGGAGAGGGCAAAAGCTTGGCCTGCTGGCAAATTCTTCAGAAAATGCCACACCTCTTATTATCCTCTTCAATCGATGAGCTTTTCTGCTTTTTCTCTTTCTTTTCTTCCTTCCCTCTCTCACTCTCTCTCTCTCTCTTTCATCATTCATGGAGGATTGGAGGAGATCCAAGTAAACCAGACTTTTACCCCATAAATCCTACAGCATCATCTCCCTCCCTCTTCTCTCTTTTGTCCAAATACCCACAACAGGAAAACGTTTGCTTCCTTTTCACACCCAAAAATCAAATACCGGCAAGCATTTTTCCTCCATTCTCTCTCTCTCTCTCTCTGAGACTCTCATCTTGGCGTCATTCTTCTAAGCTGGGAAAGCTAAACCCAGGTTTATACTCTCCCTCCTCACACACTCTCTCTCTCTCTGTTTTTATGTTCAGTTTTTATTACATTAATGGCTGAATTGATTCATGATGTAAGCCTTTTTGTACCCCATTTCCGGCCGAGTGTGAAGATACATTTTCCCTTCTGAGATTGGGAGATTTCTGTTCTGGGTCTCATACCTGATCGCTTGTAGCTTACTGGGCATTAATAAAGTTGCAACCTTGATCAGAGCTTCTGCACTTGTTTCATATAGATCTTTGGTAGTCCAGTTTGCTTTTGGGGGTAAAAACCAACCACCCCACATCTCAGATCTTGCATCCTGTATGAATAGTACCAGTAATTAGCTAGCTAGGCTAGGGTGCAAAACGAAAGCCACACCCAACTTCGCCGCCCAGATTCCCAAAACCAACCACCCCACCCCACATCGCAGATCTTGCTCTAGCTAGTAAAGCTCCTGGAGGCGGGCAACTCAGGAAACTAGCGTTGCTGTGGTTGTTGTAAAGCTCGCTCATTTCGCCCCATCAGACTTCAGATCTCTAGCATAGCATTAGCAGGTGACTTACATATTTCATTCTTCATCATATCTATCTCAGTCTCACTTCCAATCTCAGATCTTAGGAGGAATGATCATTATAACCGTGTAATTAACCCTCCCTTGTCTATGTCTCGCAATGCTTTAGTGCTCTTCCTTAATTTGGGTGCTTAGTTTTCCTCCTCCCTCAGTTGATCGATCAGATGTAAAAAATGGGTCTGGAGTGTCTGTCGGGTAGGGGATTAGTAAGCTAGGCGCTTAATTTGAGTTTTTACAGGGCAAATGTGGAGTCTTCACTTCCAGTTTCTCCTGGCTCATAGCTTTACTGAAGCCAGGATTCATTGTTTTTTTTTCTTCTTCAAACGCTTCCATATTCTCAAGTGTTGGTTTGTGTGTTTACAGGTTTCCTGTCCTTCCTAAACCCAAACCAGTGCCATGCTCAAGCAAATCCTCAGCAAAATCCCCCGCAAGTCCTCAAAACCTGACCCAATAGATGCCACCACGGTGATCGACACTGGTACCAACAACAATCCTGTTTCCAACTCGGGCAATGGTGCCCCCTGTAGTACTACTACAAATGGAGGGAACTCATTTTCAAGCCGGCTGAATGTCGTCAAAAGGGTATCTTCAGCAGTTTTCCCTTCAAGCATTATGTCCGGGGGAGTAGATGCAGCAGTTGAGCCCCATATCTCCTTCAAAGACATCTCACCCCTACAAAAGCAGAACCTCTTTATCAGCAAACTAAACTTCTGCTGTGAGATCTCCGACTTCAGCGATGCACATCTAGACCTCAAACGAGAAGCATTGGTCGAGCTCCTCGATTTTGTCTCTTCTGGTTCTGCCAAGTTCACCGAACCAGCCATTTCTGCCATTTGCAAGATGTGTGCTGCAAACCTCTTCCGTGTCTTCCCTCCCAAGTACCGTAATTCTTCCAATGCCACAGAAACAGATGACGAAGAACCCATGTTCGACCCGGCTTGGTCGCATTTGCAACTTGTGTACGAGCTGCTACTTCGATTCACAAGTTTGGTCGATGCTAAAGCGGCTAAGAAGCAAGTGGATCACTCCTTTGTTTTGAGACTGCTCGACCTATTCGATTCCGATGATCCAAGAGAGAGGGACTGTTTGAAGAGCGTTCTACATAGGATTTATGGCAAGTTCATGGTGCTGAGACCATTTATAAGGAAAGCAGTGAGCAATATCATCTACCGTTTTGTTTATGAGACCGAACGGCACAATGGGATTGCTGAGCTATTGGAGATATTTGGGAGCATTATTAGTGGGTTTGCCTTGCCATTGAAGGAAGAGCATAAGTTGTTTCTGTGGAGGGCTTTGATGCCGTTGCATAAACCAAAGTCGGTGGGGATCTATCATCAGCAGTTGGCGTATTGCATTGTGCAGTTTGTGGATAAGGATCCTAAACTTACCGGTGAGGTGATCAAAGGGTTGTTGAAGTACTGGCCGGTGACTAATAGTCAGAAGGAGTTGATGTTTATAAGTGAGGTAGAGGAGATGCTGGAAATGACCAGCATGGATGAGTTTCAGAAGGTTATGGTGCCTTTGTTTCGAAGAATTGGTGGCTGTCTGAATAGCTCCCATTATCAGGTATACAATCCACCTAATCTGCTGTTTGTTGCTCCTTATACTGTAAGGAACGAATTGAAACTCCCGTTCATTTCTCTCCGGTCTTGGACAGCTTCATCCTGAACCACCATCTAATGCCTATAATGTTGGTCTGACATGAATTCTAATCATGAGTCATATTCCCTAGTCATCACCAGTGGGTGCCTGTAGTTGATCAAATAACCAACTTTTCAATCAGAACAGCACAAACAAGTTGAATAAAAATGGAGCTGGCTCATTGAATCGAACTGAACCTAATTTGTCAGAAGTCATCCGAAGAGTCGACCTGTAATTCTAATGACTTCAATCTCTCGACTTTTTTGCAGGTGGCTGAACGAGCACACTTGTTATGGAACAATGAGCGAATTGTCAACCTCGTCATCCATAACCGGCAGGTGATAGTCCCGATTGTGTTTTCAGCACTCGAGCGCAACAGTCAGAACCACTGGAACCAAGCAGTCCTCAACCTAACGCAGAACATAAGGAAGATGTTTCTGGAAATGGATGAAGAGCTGATGCTCGCCTGCCAATGTAAGTTGGAGGAAGAACAGTCCAAGTCGAACGTGGTGGCCGAGAAGAGGAGACTGACTTGGGAAAACCTGGAAAGTGCAGCCGGTGGAGCTGCAAGTTTCAACAACCCGATTTCCAACACCATCAACTTAGCTCATGTCGAGTCAGCCTCCTGTTCTGTTGCCTGCTAGTTTGGCCACTAGCACTGAGAAGACAGCAACCATTAGCTTCACGATGCAGCATAAGGAACCACACATTCTTCTCTACGCATTCCCGTGGGTGGCGAGTAGGGATGCTGTTTGTAGTTGTGTTAAAAAGGATTGGTAAATGTTTAGGGTTGCTTGGGACATACGCAATGGGATGGATGAGGTGGTGGTGGTGAGAATTTGATGAGCCCCTCAAAAGCCTTTTGCACTATGAAAGTATGTGTATTATGAAAGGCTGTTTGTTTTCAGTTGTGCCCCCCCAATTTGTTGCAGGTTCTAACCTTAGCAAGAGAGATTATTCATTTTTATTGAAAAAGCTGTTTGCTTCGGTACTTGTATAGCTAGTTAATGCAGTTTGCTTTCCCACCCAATTTTCCAGATCATCATTTCTTCTTGCTAGCTCTGCTGTTATTCAAAGACTGGTTGCTTCCTGCACCTGATTTTGTATGTTTAGCACGCCCTTTTGTTACCATTGCTTGGACAATCATATGCATTTTTTCGATAATGTCGGTTGAACCAAGGGACAAGTTGGACGTCCTTCTCCAATGATCCAAAGTTCTTGCAACTGCATAACCCACAACGAAAATGCAGAAGCCAACAAAATCTGCAGATTCAGAACCTGTTTCATGAGCTGGGTTCCCAGGAAGTAGGAAAATGACAGTGAGAAATGGCGGTAATCTCTTGGTAGTGTAGGGATGTGGAAGAAGGGGAGTGATTTATTATGGAAGTTTGGGGTATGGCCAGCAGCAGCAGTATCAGACATGGCCGACCAGCATCAATCCATAATCATAGTTTTCTCCGCAATTTCTAACAGCCCTCAATCAGGGTTGGAATCCCGGCACCGAATGGATCATTACACTTCTTCACAAGGGACCAAAAGGGATAATTCATGAGTGGGAATCATTACCGGCATTGACCGCATCAGCTCATCAATTGTAGTTATATCTGATCCCACCAATCAATAGATAGACTGCAGAAATGCTTCTCGAAGGGTTCATAAGAACATTGTGTGCAAATGCACTTATTGGGTTTATGATATGGAAAGATTACAAGTGAGCTCTTGAAGTAAAATTCTTAGCTTCTAAGCCCTTTTTACTATGAATCCATTTCTTTCGAACCATTTCGTCTAGTTCACGTTATTGCTCCGTCAAAGTTAATGACCCAGACTCATGAGATTAGATTTCCCAGAATTCACGGCTACTACATGATTCTGGTATGACTTGGTAAACATTTTCTACACTATAACGATATCTAAAAACCTGCTTACCATTTGATTCGGAAAATATACGTAGAGGTAAGGGCAGTGCGAGCACAGTGGTCAAGCACGAATTCAATTCGCATCATCATCCCAAGCAATTCGATTAGCATCCTTGTGAGATTGGTATATATAAGAATGTGTTCTATTACACGGTAAGATCGTGCATCCTACGATCCATTAAATGTATACCATGACAATTTTATAAATATCTGAATTTGTATAGTAACCACTTCATCGATTCAAAAAACTTGGTATTGGTGTACAAACCGGGAATTATTGGTGTACATGATAAATAGGGTTCTGAAAACTAGACTGTTATGTACAATGACTCTTTCGATCTGAAGAAGTTAAAAACCTAGAATCATCAGACATTGTGAGGTGGATTCATGTCTATGGTAAACAGAGCAAGTAAAGCAACACTCGAGACTTCAGAGCTTCATCTCCTGGTCATTTTTCACCTGGTTAAAAACGTTGCAGTGAATGCCAGCAGTCATCCACAAGTGCGGGAGGAAGAGAAAGGTTTGATCACTCACTTTCAACCATGTCTTCCTCTACCTCTACCACGTCCCCTTCCCCTGCCTCTCCTTCCTCTTCCTCTACCGCCACGGTCCATGCCATGACTCCCATCGCCGTCTCTCTCAAAGTTAAACATTGACATCCTGATGTCGGTTGCTACCGTGTCTGGAGGTCCTCTTTGAACCTGGACGAAGACAGGTGCAAATGAGAATATGATATCAAGGGTTCACAAAGACACTGATGAATCGAAGTAAAGATGATGCAGATAATACGAACATGGGAATCTTCCATATCGAGTTGGTTTTGCAGCTGCCATGCGAGATCCTCGTCGTTACTGGTGTCTGGGAACGCGTTTCTGGTATGTGGCTTAGGTCCACTGTTTCTATTTTGCCATTCCTCTAGCGTCCAAGTCTGAGGTTCTTCCGCGTCATCTCTCCCCCCTCCCCTGTACTGTCTGCGGCCTCTGGAATGCCGATCGAATTGGCTAGGAGGTGCCATTTTCTGGAGGAGTTTTTGAGCAGCAGCTTGGTTTTGCACAGGTGCCGATTCAGCCACTGAAAAAAAACACAAACATTGGTGTTGATATCTGCATGCAGAATCTTAAGTTTACTAGAGTTCTAGTTGTAGAGACTAGAGAGAAATGGTGCAACCCTGTTGCATCTTATCCTAAAATTTTGACGCACTACCTACCTTCTGATTGGAAGATGATTCATACCCACGACCTACCCATACTTTTACAAAAGTATCACACAAATTTAGGATCACAATCTACACATTTCAACAAACCACCTCCAAACAGCCCATAGAGATTCAGTAGCTCTTCCTTTATCCTCCAACTCAAAATATAACATATCCATAAACGTAGATCCCACCATCTTCTGGCAGTATTGACGTAGATATCTATAAATGCCTCACAATAAGTGAAAATCACACAAAAAGTTTGGAACTAAAAGTAAGAGAAAAAGCTGCTGCACCTTCTTTCGGCCTAATGTATGAGGTGGTTGCCTTTGGTTCATTACTTGCTGCAAGTGCAGCTGGTTTCAGATTGCTGGTGCTGGGACTATCTAAAGCAATTTGAACTTCCTCAACAGCAGAAGGGAAGGTGGATGTGGAGGTAGAAGCAGAGTAACCTGCAATGTTGGCATGTACTGTTTGTTAGTGATTGATTCCCAGAAACAAACTACTCAGCTAATCCCATAAGCATCTTTCCATAAAAAGGGGGTAAAAGCAAACCACACCCCGTCAGTAATTAACTTATTAATTCAACCTGAACCTGTAGAGTGCTCGTGAATAACCATTTAAAATAAAACAAAACCAGACAGACATGAGACATCAATTTCGTCTTCTTTTTTTCTCTTTTGAATACAAAAACCAACAGATCGATGTCTCAAGGAACACCAATTGTATCTCCTTCCTCCACGTACCGTTACATTGTTACGGGCTCATCTCAAACTTCCAAATCGATAAAAACTTCTCCAATGTACAAATGTATCCTAAGCTGCATTATAGTAATCTTGCTTAATATTTTAAAATGGTTCTCTAATCTACCAAACTTCTGAACTTAAGTATAAGCTTTCCATCCAAGGAAAAGAGAGCCATAGTCACCCTCCAGCAAAACAATGGTTCTAAGGTTACAATACCAATCAAATCCTTACTCCAATGTGAAAACTTAAGCAAAAATGAAGAAGAAAAGACAAACCAACGTTCTGACCTTCCCTTGGTCTCATTGCGTAGGGAATAGGCCTCCTCTGTGCATTTTCCTTCGCCGACACTGTTTTCACTTTGTCAACTACATTTTCCGCTTTCTGTTGAACATCATATTGCCCAATTTCAGGTTTCATCGCAGTTGCTTCAGCTACAGGCATGCTGCTTCTTGAAATAGCCTGAAAGTAATCTACAAACGAAGTAACATTAGCCATTCTAATGAGACCTGCAATCATACCAATTTGAACACTTGAAGATACACCATTACCGGTAACTCTGTTTCTCTGAGAAGAAGGGCGCACGGAGGAAGCTCCAGCTTGCAACTTTGCAAAAGCAGGAGGGCCAGCGACACCGCCTTCCTCCGTCGGCCTCACCGAAGAACGCGAGAACATGGAGTACTTCTGGTTCATATGCCATTCATCATAAAGAGATTGAACAATGCCTCCAACCACAGTCATCACTTTAGGGTTCAAGCACAAAATGCCACCATGAATGGGAGCCTTGTTCTCCACACGAACCTACCATTCGAAAACCGGCAACAGTTTACAACAGATTTCAAACACTCTCTCGAGTTCCAGAAAAAAAACAACGAGCGGCTAGCAATCAATTCAATACCTTGGCACCGGGGGCGATATCGCTTCCGACGGAAGCCAAGTGGGAGTACTCAATCGCAGGTATCTCGGTGTGACCGTCGGTGAGGACGAGCTTGAGTAGGCGCCGGTGACCGGAGCTTGAAAAGGCCTCTACGGTACTGACGGCTATGTCTCTCACGGAAGATATCTGAAGGATTTTCCGGCCCTGGAGATGAGAAGCTTTGCGCAACGAATTGGCGTCCGGCAATGACTTGCCGCCGATGGACCTGAGGTCCATATCGAGGAGCTGGGACTCGACGGAATCGGCAATTGTCGAAGCTTTCCCATCGTCGGACAAGGCTGATTGGACCAGTACAATGGCCTTTACTTGATCGAGGTCGCCGATGCACCAGCCTCTGGTGGTTAGGGTTTGTATGACGTCCTCTGCGAGTTTGCTCGACATCGAGCTCTCTCCCTCCATTTCTATGGCGATTTGGTTTGTAAACTGGGGACTTAGAGAGGACTCTTACAGTTTCGAAACGGGCCTGTAATGTGTTGGCGAATTTGAGCCCGGCCCGTTTGTACAGTATAATAATAGCACGATTAATTATGACACGATGGTTGATCGTCACGTCCTTTAACTACGAGATCAAGAGTTCAATTATTGTCTATGAAAATAAAATTCACTATTGATGTCAATCCTTTACCACTTTGTATGAGAGATTAGATAGTGTTTAGAACTCACTAAGTCATTTGTGGATGCTAAGGGCGTGGCTTGACTTGCACGTAATCTAACCCTAGGATATGTAACAACGTTTGAATCTCATCATAGATCTTCAGCATAATGTGATAACGCTCATCTGTGTAAGAATCTGCTTGACAAAAGAAAGAAAAAAATCAAATCCTAAATGAGAGGCCTTCTTTCATGGAATACACTTGCGACTCAAGCCAAGGAAAATAGAGAGAGGATGAACATTTACCATCGTCATCATCGTTGGTTGAGAAGGAAGACATCAGGAAAAAAAGAGAACCAGCTCACTTCTTCGATTTGGCGCCCCTTTCCCCAACTCGCTCGCCAAGATCTCACTGCCTTCTTGCCGAATTTACAAGAACCCACTAATAAAGTCGAAAGTTCACAATTATACCCAATGAAAATTTTGACCTGACTCATTTTTACTCGATATGTTTGACCTGTTTTGGGACGAGTAATGAGCGGGGATAGTCAATCTAACATGCTCTGCTCCGCCCTATTCTCAACTCATTTTCGTCTAAATTACATGTAATTTTACTTGAATTACTAAAGTTTTCATTTTAATAATTCATATTTTAACTATAATGAAGTTGTAAATTGGTGTGAACCTCGTTTCTCTAATAACTACATTTATGATGTTGTAGTTTGATCCTAATGACAAAAATGAATATTTCAATTGTTTTCCTATAAATTGTATATCCATATAGATAAATGTATTCCGATTCACGTCCCGTGATAAGTTACTCGACCTGTCACGAAGCTGATGATATCAATATCGAGATACTCGCACGGACCGGCCCATTTGGTGCATCAATAGACGCATATGTAATTCGGAAACAGAAATGCCTGCGGAATTTCTTTCCGAAATCTCATTGATATCTACCATTGATGTTGCCGATGTATATAGTAGCGTATGTACATAAATAGTAATCCTACTCTGACAATCTGGAGTAAGATCAGAGCTCATATAAATAGCCAAAAACTAGGGAGTCTTTCTATAACGTAAACCTTGAGGGCTACGTTAGCCTGGACACAAAATGGGGACATACCAAGTCCCAGAAAGCTCCCGTCTTTCGCCTTCCTTCTACCGCAAGAAATCCGTTAAACTATTAGCTATACTGTTAGGAGTAAACATGACCAAGAAGATCACTTCCAGAGCTTGACAACCATGTCATGGCTGGCTGAAGCTACCAACCCGTTGGCACTGGATACCGCCAAGGCCGAAACTTTTTTCTCGTGTGCTTGAACAGTCATCGTCTTGTTCTCAGCCATGTTCCACAACTCGAGAGTCTGCAGCAAAACCCCAAGTCAGACCCAAGTCAGACCATATGATGTTAAGAGGATGAGGCTTTGCAGTTATTATCAAACAAGGGGGGGGGGAAAGGGGCAAGAGAGCTGATCACCTCGTAACATCCGATGATCATGACAGATGGATAGGTGGGGTGAAAAGCGCATGTGTTGAACCTGTTTCCTGAGCGGTTTAGCTCGTGAATACAATCTCCTTTGCTTGCAGAGCCAATTTTCCAGACTCTGACCAAATCATCACTTACAGAAGCAAGGCACTCGCCGGATGGATCCCAACACACAGAGTTAACTTGGCTTTTGTGACCCTGGAGCAACAACATTTGCCCAAACGCCAGTCAAGACAGGAATCCACTACTTAATACAGAACAATTTAAACAATCACCCAGCAGCATCTATCAACATAAACCTGGGGGTCATTAACCATTGAATTAAAAGAGACAGAAGTGTCAAACCTGCAATTTGAGTCTGCAAACTTGAGTTTCGACATCCAGTATGTAAACAAAATTTTCAGCCATTGCTGCAAGGAGCCTCCCGTGGCGAGGTTGAAATCTCATCTTCATAGCATTCTAAGCAAAAGTAAAAAGAGAGACCCGGATTAGCTGAAGCTACCAGAGAATAAAAACAAATGGGCTTTTTAACCAAATGCAGAGGGGAACCAGCAGATTCTACCTTGAAGACTCCAGCACAACTGCCATTCTTGATACTCCAGTAGCGCATCTCATTATTACTATCACAAGAGCATATAAGGTCCTCTTTAGTAGGGTGGAAATCAACTGACATGACACTTGCAGAATGCCCTGTGAAGGTCCGAAGTGAATAGCCCGGCTGCAAATTATAAGCAAGGGAGGGTTGAATGCTGTATCAGCAGAGAACCAAAGTAAACAAAAAGAAAGAAAACCCAATAGTAATATCAACACAGAGGACACTGTTGTCTAATAGTAAACATGTAAGAACCAAAGCAAATATGGAGTGACAGAGAGTAAATCAAGGTTATTATACATTATCAGCATCCCAAACCCTAACAGTTTTGTCAGCAGAAGATGTAGCAAGTCTTGACATGCTTGGGCTGAAACGGACATCAGTAATCCACTGTGAATGTTCTTCAAGTGCAGAATTTATTGTGAAAGATTCTGTGCCCCAAAGTGTTACCTGCAGTATATCATAATTCATCAACCAAAATCCTCCATTTTCAATAACTGTTTATAGGGAAGATTATTAAATAGTAAAGATTTACTTTTTTGTCATGTCCACCAGTGGCAAGCAGCTTTCCATCTGATGAAAAGTGACAGCATTCTACTTTACTTGTGCTCGCTGGCAGAACCTGGATCTCCGAAAATGTGAATCCTAGGACCAAAAAGAAATGCAAGAACTCCTGGTCACTCTGATCTGCCATTGTACTTTTGCCTTTCACATGCTATAGTGCAGGCAAACTGAAAACATGGGTGTCTTTTATAGATGAAAACTACATTAGTTTTAGTACTACCTTTAGTGACATCATTAGACAGGCCGACTCTGTCCCTTGGATCTTCAGCATCATGCGAGAAAAAAGATTCGACATTATCATCCAGAGTTCTGTCATCTAGAATCCTATCCATATCAGCCTGCAATAACATACCACCGCTCAATGGCCGAGTATGATTCCCTGATCCAAATTGCAATTCTATAGAAAAGTAACTGGTTGTGGCATGCGATCGAATGACCAAATGGTATACACTTAAGTCATCTCAAACTAACTGAAATGGATCGTTGTAAAGGAGCGGAAACGCTCACCAAATCATTTGTAGCTGCTGCAAGGGAACCCAGACCATCAGAGCCAAACATAAGCATAGACTTTGAGGAATTTGCATTTTGTGGTGCAGTAGGCAGTGACATAGCATCTCCAGGTGTAGAGGGAGAACTTGGGGACGGGCCAGTGGTGTTTGCAGTCCCTGAACTATTGGCAGGTCCGGAAGAAGACACCGGCTGCTTTCTCTTTCTTTTAGAAACCTTCAAGAAATAATGAGGCTTATTAATATCATAATTCGCGACACTCAATTAAACCCCTAGTGACAAACTGGAACAGGGAACCAAGAACCCAAGTGTCAACAGAGTCCTTTTCATGAGGATAAAAAGAACTTAAAGGGCAACAGTCACAAATACAACAAAACTAGAACTGCTGACAAAATTCCTTATGCAATCAATTGTTCAATTTTATTGAAGAAGGTTAATTCGCATGGCAGACCCCAAGTTCTGGATTAGATGATGTATTGCAGTCATGCATAAGGTAGTAAGAATGTAATATTAGGCTTTAAGTAGAGACATACATATAGAGTAAATAGCACAAGGCTGTAATATCTCATCCACGTACTAAGACAAAAAAAGAAAAAGAAAAAGAAAAAGAAATTTTCCAACGCATGACCTAGCTAATCAATGAAAACTCAATTCATAATTGTCACACAAACCTGATCCGTTCCGTGAAAGGTGTTTGACATGCTGCCATCTGCTGCAATGCTACCTGAACCAATCATTCTGTCCTGCTGCTGCTGGAGCAAGGGATTTGAATTCTGTGACTGCTGACTTGAAAGTGGAAGTTGCGAGTACAGTTGCTGGTTGTTGCATTGAAGCTGTTGCTGCTGTAACTGACAGACCAAACCCAGCATTAGAGGAAAAAACAAGGCTTCAGAAAGCTTAAAAGGCTCAACATTTTCTGGAAACAACCAAGATTCTCTAGACATTCACAGCTTAGTTAAAAAAAGTACCTTGAGTAGAATATCCGTGTCTCGTGGCATACCATGAGAGCCAACTTGCATTGGTGATCCAATGTTACTAAGCAAGTCACCAGAACTTAATGGCCCTTCCTTAGGAACACCCATATTCTGGTTACCGAGAAGCATTCTTAATTTTCTTCGTTCCAGATCATTAATAGATGGGGATGACAAATTTTGCTGTGCTTGAAAGATCAGTTGTTGTTGTAACTGAACTTTGTTGAGGTGCTGGGGATTTTGCATCAACCTTTGATGCTGAAGAAGCCCAAATTGATCCAGCCCCTAACAAGGTGACCAATCAGATTGGTTTGCTCTGCTGAGCTCTAATATGAGAAGGTACTTCCAAAACATTTACCAATACATCATATCATACTGGTAGAAGACTTCACATGAAGATGTGTATGAGATCATTAGAAGTTTATGATAAGAGCAAGTCTTACAGTTAAGGGCCATCCTTTCAATGTCAAATTGCTTCCTCCTTGATTCAGCCCTAAATTAACATAAGAAGATAGCTATGGTTCAGTATACGGAATGACAACAAAGATACCACATGGGCATTCTCTTTAGCTATGCCAATTCATTAGCTTCTTTGACAGAGGATACATAAACAGTTTGAAACTTGAGCAATTTGATATCTTCATAAGAATGCAAGATCTACCACTCTGAGATGAGTTATGAATGAACATGACTTCTCCTTATGGAAATAATATGCTCATATGACTTCTCCATCTAGTTCCACGCACTGCA